TGAGCGATCGGTTCACTAAGACGTGACCAATACTCCAGAGGACGGCCGACAGACCCAACACTTGGTAGCGAAGGGTCCATACGATGCGGTCGGTGAGGGAGTGGAGGTGTGGCACCGATACGTATCTTAAGCCAAACTGAGTGAACGCATAGTACGTGACCACAAGAAACACGAATCCAATGAGTGATGCGATCACTACAGCTCTTCGGATGGCCGACAGCTGAGTGTCTCCTTTGCTGGTCTTCTCTGCTCTCGTCTTCGGCGGCATTGCTGGCGATGTGCGTCAGGTGTGGCTTGAGTTGAGACAATCTGGGTGTGAGTGGTGTTCGTGGTGACAGTCACTGATGTGGAGGAATGATGTTTGGATTGAAATGAGATTTCATTCAATATTTGGCTCTCTTTTGACGATTCGTTTGAATCAAACCAACGGTTCAGACCTTAGTCTTAGACAATGGACTCAACGCATACGCCCTGAACGCCACAAACCGACACCCATTGGACCACTCATTGCACACTCACTACTCACTCATTGGTGTAAACACTGCACACACAGACACCGGAGCTCTCACACCAGATGTCACTCCACTCCCACTCACTCCTCATTTCATTGACACGAATCTTACAGTTATTTTGGTGCAGCAGTTAAGTGTCATTTGAGGCTAACTTTCAATTCACTCAATTTGACTGCATTTGACTGATCACTGATCACTCATTCAGTATTTCAACAGTAATTGATGCAAATGTTCATCAATTTAGACCATTTCACTAAACCAAGTGAACACATACTAAACACTATACCCTTTTTGTACTCCAGTTTGGGGTCTTGTCATAAACGTACTGTCAATGTACAGTAAACGATAGATGCAACGTTTTCAAATATTTTCACCTTGTTCATTTCCAACATTTTTACATTGAGCGTACATTGAGATTTGAAACCATTAAAAATAATCCAGTAATACCTTTATTAATGACAAACCAATTGTTATAAAGCATATGAATACTTGTATTGCAAATGGCATTAACTTGAAATAAAATAATGTTTTAAACTTATGTAATGTATTGGGTTAATACATTATCAACAGTTACTGTTTAATACCTTGTGCATTTGCATTTAGAGTTAAAGCCATTTGCAATAAAAGTGTTCATATTTGATTTCTGGTTTTCATAATTAGTTAAAAAAAACTTTTAGAAATAATACTAATATCATTGAATTATTTATTTTTTACAAACTCAATAATTACCTATTAAACTGACATTGTCAACATTACTGTTCCTCTTTAATGTTTTAATTAATGAATTGCTAAAAAAGTTTTTAAATAAAATATCTGTAATCATATGAAAAGTAATTCAGATTTTAGTGTTTAAACTGAATATTTTACATATTTATGGATTTTATATAAAAAGAGTGAATAAATGTAGGTTTTCATGATACATGATACGATGCTTTCAATGATTAATACTATAATACTGAAATAATAACCATTTCCTAAAATTTATGAATTTTGGAGAGAAAATTAAAACTATAAATATTTGTTGGCAACTATTAAGTGTGCCGTTTGTTTGACACCAAAGAATATTTTATTGATTTTAAGGCAAAATCATTGGAGCGAAGAGTTAAGTATTTTTGAAGCTTTTATTTTCTTCTTTGACAGTAATCTGAATCCAACGAAAATCTATTTTTTCAGACATCATATAAGCTTTGGGTTATATTTATTGTGAAATATAAAGAAGTCATAACATAATCAACAATTAAAATCAATGATTATTATAGTAGTGACTGAAGTCATGCGCTCCCAAAACGGTATTACTTTTGATTTCGTGCGCCGTTTTCTCCAATCATTTGAGTCGTTTATATTGGGATTTAATGTGTCGGCAAATGCTATCCAAACGATTCGTTTCTTTTATCCCTCAAGCCTTTGGGGAGTGACTTCTCACGTATAAAATGATCTCTTTTTGCTTTATTCTCATCTATGATATCGCTATTTGCAATGAAAACTAATACTAACACTAATACCGAAATAAAGTCATTTATTAGGATATGATTACAAATTATTTTAATACAAACTTATAATCAAACAAAGCATATAATACTATAAATCCGATATTTTTGGTCCATTTCTTAGCATATAATAATTGATCAATTTTAGCATTTTTCCAAAAGGCTCTGGATCATTGGCGTCATTCACCCCCGACCTTATCAGAGGTTTCCATTGAATTCCTTTCGCCAAAAATAGATGCAAACATGTATTGAATGGATGCAGTATTTGGAGAAATGTGAACAATATATACAATATGTGTAACACATATAACACATAAAACTCGTATCAAAAGTGATGCCAGAAGTGGGCGGAGGATTACAATGCATTTGCAACGGCATCGGAATTTCATAAAATAACACAGTCTTTGAGTCTCCCATTTGTCAGGACTTCCATTGCGTCACAATGTCTTACATCCAACGAAATTGTTTATAAGTTTATCAGTGCCTCAGCTCCCGATTCAGTTGTGCTCGGAGTCCTTTCCATTAAAGTTGCGGATCTCCGCTCACATACTCTTTACCATCACTTCAGATCATTAAATATCACTGCATTTGGTATTAAATTTAATTAATTCTTCAATTCATTTAAATATAATTCTTATTCCCGTATAAATAGCCATCAATTGTGACAATGGAGTCGTCGGGAAAGAGAAATAAAGTGGACAACAACACCATAAACCTGTCAAAACTTAAATATACAGGTATTTGTGCACTTTTCTTACTTTTGATATTTTTTGTTAGATTTCCTGTGGTTTGTATCGAATTTATGTATTAATTTGTTTGTTGTGTTGCTTTAATCGCATTAATGACACAAAATTAACATTAAATAAGTTGAATGTGTTATATGTGTTAAACCATCGCTTCTGCAAATAAAGGGAAAGGGCTTTGAATAGAGTTCTAAACGATAGGCAAAAGAGGGATTGTGTTGAAGAGAGGCCTTTAAATATGTTGACAATACAATCATCTCATGTTTGGGCCTTATATGGAAAACTCGTTTAATTAGATTTGACGGCAGTTTTAGTGACCAAAAAGAGTTTGCCTATTAATCAATTTGTCCCCAAAAAAGTAATTTCACACTTCATTTCAATGACTTTAGTAAATAACAAATAAGAATTGGAAATAGCATTCTGTAGTTTTATTGCTTACTATTAATCTGTAACTTATTGTATAGAAAGTAAAAATAATGAAAAGATTTTTCCAAATGCAATTGAGATGCTGTGAGAGATTTTAATTGATTTTGATATACTAAAGCAAAATACAATATATCGATATTTGGATTGTAGACAACAAAGTCATTACAAATCAATCATAATTTTGGTCCAAAAACACTATTCAATCACAACTCCTCAGTATATTTGCGTTGGGAATCGAAAGCATTTATTTGTATGATATAAAAGTCTCAAGGGATAGGATTTAGGGATAGCTATTGTACGCGAGAGAAACCCATCATTTTGTAACTCTAGTCCTCACCGTTTGCTCTTTTCAAGTGAACCAAATTATGGCATTCAGTGGTTCCCGAGAACTCAATGCAAAAAAGTGTCTCAAATTAAATGTAGAGCCGTGTACAGCACCAGTCATATAGCCTGCGCTCAATTCTTTTCATGGATCATGAAATCAGTGAATATGTATTGCTCTCTATGAATGTCTGCATTTTTTCGATAACACTCATTGTATCAAAAATAAAAATTTTGACAAAAATTAGTCAATTGTTATGATTTGATGTCGAATTGAATTCCCTTTTTATTTCTATTTGAACACAACTATTGAATGAAAGTTTGCATTTTTTCCATTACAAAAAATATGTTTCGAAAACATTTAGAAAACTTTCCAATCATGAATTCTATCGATTAGAACATAGGAATTTTGTTTATTGTACAAGATCCAATTAATAATTTGTTTTCATTTAATGTTCTAAAGACTTGTTCCCAATCGATGAGAACGGATCCAAACCCACCAAAGAATTTCTGTTACAAGTAATGGAGATATGTTTGGACTTCATCGACAAATCAAATGACAGAACTACTAAAATATTGGAGTTTCATAAACCGGAAGAACTCAAGAAATTATTCGACTTTAGTATACCTGACGAACCCCTAGACATCCAACAAATTGTGAATGACTGCAGAGATGCTCTCAAATATCAAGTGAAAACCGGTGAGTCTTTCCCTGAACCCCAAAGTTATTATAATATGAGACTATAATATGGCATAAAAGTCAGCTGTAAACGACATGAGGGACACAACTATTATAAATTGATTTCAGCGCTACTAATATGACTAATACTACTAATTTGGCAGAAATCATGCCCAACACCGAACGGGTAGTCACTGTGTGGGCCTTTCACTGTAAAATGTGTAGGTTTTGGTTGGTTTTTGACAAATACATATTTTTTGTCAAAATAATACTAATACTACAGTGAAGTTTAGTTTTACGTCAAATCGAGTCAAACCAGTATTAAGAGCAAAAGTTTTCAATTTGCGTTCACTTGAACTCATTTTTTAATAAGCGGTTATATGACGCGTGTTTGATGTGAACTGACTGAACAGTGCAGTCATACTGTGCTGTACCGTATATACAGACTGATCAGCACAAGAGTTGGCCGAGCCTTGGCTGCCATAAACCCTAATGTTGTTCTTGTCTATGAAATTCAATATTTAATTCGTAAGTGTAGTCATAATAAGACCGTTAGCGGAGAACAGGAGCCCAAAGCGCATATAATAGAGTGGATCGGGATATTGCAAAATATTTATGCGCCAATTAATTGCAATTTTGTTTCGCTTGACTTTTGAGGGAGAGTTGAGAGTGAGTGAGAGAGAGAGAGAGAGAGAGAG